CCATGCTGGCTGGGGAATTCTGGGAGTTGAAGTCCACCCATCTTAAAGTTGCTGAGGTTGAGGAACCTTGCTATAATGGATACTTTGTAGAAAAATAGCCAAAGTGCAGCAGGTAGCAGGTAGAGTGCAGACAGGTAGCCCTGTTTGAATGTCTGGGCTTAGAAGCTAAGCGGGGTAGAGCCTTGTTAGTATTTGGACAGGAGACCACCAGGAGAGCCAGAGCTGTAGGCTGGGAAAGATCCCAGAAAAAGGCAACCACAAACTGTTATCTCACCAAGAAAAATTCAGGATTAGGGTTACTCCCAAGTAACTTTACAGTGTTACTCTGAAACACTGTGAGGAAGTAGTTTAGTGCAGGGTCACTCTCAGTTCTGTCCCCAGTTGGAGCAGAGTTATGAAAGAAATGCTAAGAGAGAATGTCCAAGGGGGTTGACAAGCAGGCGATTTTGACCTTGTGAAATGTGACAGTGAAGCTCCTTGGGGAAGAAGGAAATAAAAGGGGGAGATGTTCAAAAGCAGGGGTGGGGAGGGTGGGCGTGGAGGTAATCCACCCACAGGGTCAGAAGAGGAGGATTTTTGAACCTCACAATCAAGATCTTCACAGTCAAGTGACATTCCGCACTAACAGCTGAATTCTGGATCCCGGTTATGGCAGACAAATGTTATCTACTTGCATCTTTTGCAGAATGTATTCCGTTTTCTTCCTGCTTGCTCCCTGTGGGAAGCAGACAGCTCTCTGGGCCAGGATGTGCATCTTCTGACCACATGTTACCCTGTGTTATCCCCCTCTCTATGGCTTAAGGGCTAGAAACCCATCAAGCCTGTTTTTCAGTGTGTGCAATCCAGGTCTTGACAGATTTGTTTGCTTAAACGGCACTAGCACATCCTTAACCTTAAAATCCTTGCTCTTAATGACACCTTAATAGCTGACTTCTCTTGCAATTTACTCTTTTAAAAAGTTTTAGCTCTGACCACAAATATTAGCGTATCCCTGGGTTATGAAACACACTCCTGAATTAATCAATTAAAAAAAAGAGATCAACATGAACCTCAAAGTATTAATATATTCGTTAAGGACACCTTGTGAATGGGACAAGAAAAGCAGAAATGGGGGATCATATTCTCCACACTCCTCTTCCTCCTATCATATTGTTTTTACATTTGCCAGGGAGAGCGCCTGAATTTTAGGTACATTAATTGCTACCCGATCAAAATTAGGGCACAAAATTATGTTTTGTGTCCTTGCTTATTCTGTGTGTCATATGCTGGGAAATGCAAATTATTACCTCCAGGAATGCAGAGACCTGAACAAAAATTTGGGGTATCTTGATTTTGTTATGCTGAGAAACATCTATCAGAAATGTCGGTATGCTGGTCTTTCTGACAGTAATAAAATATTATTTTATCTGGTTAAAGGCACCCCCCCCCTGCCCCCCAGAGTTATAATATTGGATGAGTAAATGGCCATTAATACTGGAGGACAAAGAAAGAACACCGTTGGACTTTTTGAGTTTTTTTCAAGGGAAAATATTGCAAGATGGCTTGGGACTCTAAAGGCCCCCTTTTTTCTTTCTTCTGGATAAAAGGGTTTGGCACTGGGGGCTGTTGCCTTCCAACCGCTGGGCTGCTTCTGCATCGCCATGCTCGCCTTCTCCAAAGATGAAATCAGGAGCTGGGGGACAGGAACGACTGTATGCGAAGCTGTCTGTAGGAAAAGGGAAAAGAAAATAAAGGAAGCCTAGCAGAACGAACGCACGACGTGTGAGAAGCCAGAACAGGCTCCAAGGAGAACTATCCTTGGAGAGTTTGAAAACTCAGTCTTGTGAGTTGCTGGCTGGGTTGAGCTTGCAGAAGACAGACGAAGGGAACGTCTATCATGTACAGTGGTACCTCTACTTACAAACTTAATCTGTTCCGTGACTCTGATCGCAAGTCGAGTTGGTCGCAAGTCGAAGTAAATTTTCCCATAAGGATCAATGTAA